ACCAGACATTTCCTTCCTTCTCCCCAATAAGACAGCAGAACCCATACAGTCCAAAGTCAAGAAGTAGGATAGAAAAATGAACACACAAAAAAAAGAACCTGACCATAAAGAGCTACTATGGTGACAGTTGAAAGCTCAAGACACAGAAGACATCTATAAGCACAGATCAGACACAAACCCAACAAAAATTCCTAAAACAATTAAGGAGGTTTTTTCTTTTTTGTTTTGTTTTTTCAGTGATTTTAAAAAGCGAATAAGAGTGGTAGTGGGAAAAAATGGGGAAAGAAATGAGAGCTATGCAATAAAATTATGAAAAGAGAATTAATAGATTGGTAAAAGAAATACAAAACATTACTGAAGAAAATAATTCATTAAAAATTAGAATTGGCCAGGTGGAAGCTAATGATTCCATCAAATATAAAAAAATAAGGTCAAAAGAGTGAAAAATAGAAGAAAATATGAAATATTTCATAGGGAAAAAAAACCAGTTGACCTGGAAAATAGATTGAGAGATAATTTAAAATCATTGGATAACCTGAAAGCCATGAACAACAACAACAAAAAGTCTAGACATCATGTTTCAAGAAATTGTAAAGGGAAATTTCCCAGATATTTAGAGCCACAGGGCTCTACTGGTCAGCTCTTGAAAAACCCAAAATGAAAACCCTCAGGAATAGTATAGCCAAAACCCAGAATTCCCAGGTCAAGAAGAAAATGCTGCAAGCAACCTGAAAGAATGAAGTCAAATACCATGTAGCACTTTCAGGATCATAACAGGTTTTAGCATCTATCACTTAAGAGGAATATAGGACTCCACTATCTCTAATAAATTTCAGCATAAAAATATCGAATAAAATATTTCCATATTGAATACAGTAACACATTTTGTAAGGTTTTATACTATCACATGGTAGTTGGACTTCTACCAGGAATATAAATTTGGGTCCAATGTTAGAAAAAGTGCAATAGACCATATTAGTAGCAAAAAAGAAAAAATTTAATGATATGATTATATCAATAGATGAAAAAAAGCTTTTGAGAAAACATGATAACCATTTCAGTTTAAAACAAACAGTAAAAAACATAGGAACAAATAGACCTTTCCTTAATATGGTAGGCATTATTTATCTAAATCCAGGAGCTACTGTTATCTGTAATGGAGAAATGTTAGAGGTCTTTGCAATAAAATAAGATCAGGAAGCAAAGATGTCTATTGCCACTGTAATTTTTAATATAGTTACTGAAATACTAACCATAGCAACAAGACAAGAAAAAGAAATTGAGGGAATAAACATAGATAACAAAGAAGCAGTGCTCTCACTTTTTGTAGGTGATATGCTAGTCTATTTAAAAAACCTAAAATTTAACAAAAAAAAATTTAATTGAAACAGTAACTTCAACAAAGCAGGATATAAAATAAGTCCACACAAATAATCAGCCTTTCTATATTTTGCCAATACAGTTCATCAGAGAAAGATAGAAGATGAAATACCATTCAGATACCTATCACATGTTAAAAAATTGGATTTTACCTGCTCAGAACACACAGGAATTACATGAATGCAACTGCAAAATAATCTCTACACAAATAAAGATCTACCTAAATAATTGGAGAAATACTAATTTCTTATGACTGGGCTAGGCCAGTAAAATAAAAATTATATTATAAGTTAATTTGCTTATTCATTGCCATACCAAACTACCAAAAGATTATAGAATCATAGACTTATACAGTTATAGAATTAAGAGGGAAGATAGCAAAATTTTTCTTGAGGAACAGAAGGTCATGGATCTGAAAAGATTTTTTTTAAGTGGTAAGGAAGGGGCCCTTACAGTACCACATTGCAAGCTATAGTACAAGGCAGTAATCATAAAAAAAAAAATTGAAAAGTTTATTTGTGATACAGTTTAAGTACACAACTTACAGAGAAGCAAATGAACAGCATTGTGTTTGATAAACTCAAAGACCTTAGTTAAAAATTGTTGGTAGAATTGTAGAGTAGTCTGGCTGGGATTGAGTTCAGATAAAGAGCTCATACTGTATAATACAATAAAAATAAAATTTCTAAATGAATACAGTATACTTAGATATAAAAGGTTACATCATAAACAAATTAAAGGCTCAGGGAAGGAGATACTTTTTTGAACTGTGCTGTAGTGGATAGAGTGATGAACATGTAATCAGGAATACCTGAGTTCAAATCTGGCCTCAGAAACTCACTTATATATTTACTTGCAGGCAAGTCACTTAATCTTTCTCAGCATTAATTTCTTGTATAAAATGAGGATAATACCACCATCCACCCTACAGGATTATTGTGAGGATCAAACAGGATAACATATATGAAATGTTTTGCAAACCTTACAGTGCTACATAAATGCTACCTACCTGTTCCTAATATCATTATTAAGGGTTAGAAGAGTTCTTGACCAAACAAGGGGTAAAGATAAAATGACCAGGAGATAAAATGTACAATTTTGATTATATATGTATCTGATATGCTAGACACATTGAGATTAATTCACAAAATACTTATTATAATATACTGTGTACAAAGCATTTTTCCCAGCTGGCAATATAAGATAAAATAATCTTGCCCTTTAGTTTACACTTGACTCTAGTGAAGGAAGCTCACAGTAGTCGACCCTTCAGGCATTTAGCATTTGAGAGATTTTCATATGTATATATTTTGGGAAGGAAATATACATATACTTAATTATGCAAAAGCATACCAGGTTACACAATAAGATATCTTTCAGTCAATAAATGAACACATTAAGCATCTGCTATAATGAGTGCCCTTTGACCGAGGAATACCACTACTTGACTTGGCCTGTACCCAAAAGAGATAAAAGAAAAGGAATAGGCCCTTTTATGTTGAAAAATATGTACAACAGCTTTTTTTGTGATAGCAAAAATTTAGAAACTAAGAGGATGTCAAACATTTGAGGAAAGGCTGAATGAGTTGTGGTGTGTGAATGTGATAGTACTTTTGAGCTGTAAGAAATGAAGAAATAGATGACTTTAAAAAGAAATGACTTATGAATTGATGCAAAGTGAATTGAGCAGAAGTATAACAATTTATAGTATAACATGATTATTATAAAACTGAATCATTTTAAAGGCTTTTACATACTTACTGGTGAAGCATGAGATGAATAGAACTAGAACAATTTATAAAGTAACAACACTACAAAAAAACAAACAACCTTGAAAGCCGTAAAAGCTTGGATCAATACAGTGACTATTGATGATTACAATGGACTGATGTTGAAGCCTGCTGTCCATTATAGAGAAGTGATAAATTTAGCATGTGGAGTGAGGCATATATTTTTGCATACCATTGTCAAAGAAATTTGTTTTGTTTGACTACGCATATTTATTATGGGAAATTTATTTTTCTTTTTTTCCCAGTAAAGGATTGGAGGAAGAAAAAATAGATTTGTGTTAACTTTTTAAAAATTAGAGAAATATGGAGGGAGTGTAGTGTAGTGTGGGGTTAATATACTTTTAAATGATGTCACAATAGTGTTTGTTTTACTTAACTGTTTTACTTTGTTACAAGAACCCTCACAAGGTAAGAGTAATCTATAAATGTAGATAATGTAAAAACAAAGCACATTAAAATTTATAAAAATACACTTTAAGAAAAAGAATTTTTTGAAAATGTCTACTATGAGGGCAGCTAGGTGGCGCAGGGGAGTTCAAATCCAGCCTCAGACACATGATACTTCCTAGCTGTGTGACTGTGGGCAAGTCACTTAACCCTAATTGCCTCACTAAAAACAAAAAACAAACAACAAAATAAAACAAATAAAAGTGTCTACTTTGTACCAGTACCATGCTAGACACTGGAAATACAAGTTCAGACTAAGAGAAATATACAAAGAAATAGCTAATTCAGGCGATTGGATAAAAAGACTAATCTGGTAGTAAAAATGTTGAATTATAACTTCTAAAAATATATTTTAACATATTCAGTACATATAGCAACAGGAATTTGGTCAGCAACATGCTGATTAGTGGTCCGGCCAGACCTGATCTAATGGACTGACAAAGATGACTTGTAATTAGTATGTCAAATGTTTGTATTTCTCCTAACATACTTGACATTTAAAAACAGCTCATGCTTATCTAGTTAGTAGTGTCTCAGAAGAAAGGATTTGCCAAGAAAAAAATGTTTCCTTCCTGTTGCACTTTCTTTATTAATGGAGTCTGTATTTATGAAGTTTTATTATTTAAAACCTTAATTTAAAAAAATACCTGACAAGGGAAATGAAAGGTTCCAAATGTAAAAATTTGAAGTAATCCTGTAGTATATTAAGAGGAATTTCCATAAAATGTTTTTACTCTTCCTTCTCTTAATAATATATCTAATTATAACAATTAATAATTATTTACTAAGGGAAAGTTAACTAATAGAATTATTACTAAGTAAAAAAATCAGAATTCCTTATTCTCAATCTGAGGTGTAAAGTTGAGCACATTATTTAGCACTAGAAGAACCAGGTATGTCATTTGACACAAAAATTTACTTAGTCCTTCAAGATATTTTTAAATTCCAGTCTTTCTGTTAAACAGTGTAGAGGAATCTAGATTGTTTTTTTTCCCAAGAGGGATTAAGATTTCTCTAGAAGGATGGGAGAAATTCCCTACCAAAATATGAATCCTAATCCTAAAGATATATTATTTAAATAAAATTAAAAGGGGGAAGTCTGAATCCTCATGTGTAAAATAGGGATAATAATAACATCTCACAGAGTGGTCATGAGTATCAAGTAAGATAATGTGTGAAAAGTACTTTGTAGCCTTAAAAGTCTAAATAAATGTGAGCTAGATATTATAATAAGATTGTATGTTGATGGCTCAAGATTGAAATAGAAAGATAGGACAGAAGCATATGGTATATTTGTTCATGGATTACATGGCATGCTTTCCTTAGCTTTTGTAAGGACTAAAAAAATCTTCATTCTGTTAAAAAATACTGTTTTTATTTTAGGTGCTACTCTAAGTATGAGGCCTGCTCCCATTCCAGTAGAAGACCCAGAGTGGAGACAGACACCTCCCCCAGTCACTGCAACGTCTGGTACATTCAGACTACGGCGAGGTAGCCGATTTACTTGGAGAAAAGAGTGCCTGGCTGTCATGGAAAGGTACATTTTGTCCTCTTCTTAACAGTTGTATGGATGAAATATCTCCTAAATGTAGAAAAGAGATTACCAAAAACAAAACAAAATTTTAAAAAAGCCTTGACTAGAATCCAACAAGTGCTTTTATTTTTTTCTTAAGATTATCTACTGGTTTCCATATAAGCACCATTTAAGAAATATTTTAGTGTTGTAGGCATTGTCATATTAGAATCTGAATCTTATATGGCCCTTACATTAAATATTTTCACAAATGAGTAATTGTTTTTGCATCCTTGGGATTTAGGTGACAGTTTGTTTACTTAATTTTCATTTTATTTTGATGAACTTCTCCTCTTGGTTCTTATCCTGGGTTGTTTTCATCCAGTTTATGTCAGGCTTTAAACTGGATTCTAGAGTATTATTTACTGAAGTTATCTTCATTTTTATATTCCCTAGCTCTGATTAATAATATATTAATAACTAACTCTCAGTGAGATCATTAGTAAAGCACATTGAGGTTCTTTGGAATGAAGATTCTCTTTTGGAAAGATCATGTCCTGTCCTTGGAAAAGTCTCATTTTTTTTGCCAGTTCATCTCTCTTCCTTCTTTCACTTCCAACTCTGCCTCTTCCAGAAAGGCTTCCCTTATTAATCCTACCAAATTAGTCATTTACTTAATGTACCTGCTTCTGTGTTCAGATCATTTTATAAAATTTTTACTGATTTATTGTTTTGTAAATGTTCATATGCCACTTTGTAACCTTATTTTCTTTCTAGGTAGCTTATAAATCCATTGAGGCCAAGAGCCATGTTTTTTATATTCTCTACATTCAAATCAGTTAATTAATAAGTATTTATTGTGTTTCCTACATGGTAGGCGGTGAGGATACAAAGACAAAAAATAAGTAGTTCCCCTATTTCAAGAGGGAATTGCCTAGTACTTTTCTCCTTATTGAATACTATGCATATAACAGGCTTGGCAAATATTCACTGAGTCGTCAAAAAATCAGCTTTTCAAGTTGAGGATCCCTGGCTAGTAGAATCAGTAATTTTTGAAAAGTTAATTTTGACAAACTTTCTTTTCAAAAGAAAATGAATAAGGGTAAGCTTTTCTTTTGAAAATACTGGGAAACCTTAACAGATTAAATGAAATTTTATGTAGTATAAGTAAGTAAAAAAGTATCAAGTAGAATTGTATATATTAAGAATATTTCAGTGAAAATATGTGTGGCTTGAATGTGGAGATATAGATAGGAATGTAATTATATGTACATTGAAGTTAGTATTGTGTTTTCACTAATTGCAGTATGTGTAAAAATACAGGACTTCAAAATGGCAGGTTTGCATCCAAATTTCAAACTTGTAAGTTGATAATAGAAAGTGTTACTGAGATGCAGAGATAGTGAATGTGTGAGCCACCAGCTCTTTTCGCCATAGTCGCAGGATGTAGAATTGGAAGGGACTTGAATGGTCATGAAGTCCAACCTGTGCCAGAAGGAAGTGCTGCTATAACAGCCAGCAGTTGCTCATCCAGCATCCAGGGAGTAAGAACCTACTGTCTCCTGAGGCAGTCCATTCCACTTTTAGACAGCTTTAAGTTTTAGAAATTGTTGCATCTTGGTAATTTGCATTCATTGCTCCTGTTTTTACCCTCTTGGACCAAAATTTGATTTCTCTTTAATATGACAACCCTTCAGAAACATCTAGGTGATAAGGTAAGGGGATGAGATACTTCATTAAAGTGATGTCTTCTTAGTGGAGTGAAGGAGATGCATACAAGAATCATATAATCACTCAATCTCAGTGTTGGAAGGGACTAATTGGCCATCTAGTCCAAACGATGCTACTTGTCTTCTAGGTTCTACCTGAAGACCTCCAGTAAGGAGGAACTATATATTCCACTTTTGGATAGCTCTAGTTGTTAAAAAGTTTTTCCTGACATGAAGACTGAGTTTACCTTTCTGCAACTTCCACTCATTTCTCCTGGCTCTGCCCTCTGGGGCAAAGAAAATAAGGCTTAATTTTTCTTCCATTACAGCCTTTCAAATACTTGAAGACACCTGCTGCATCTCTCCCTAGGTGTTCTCTTTTCCAGACAAAATATCCTAATTCCCTGAAATAATCTTTATATGACATGGATTCCTGCCCCTTCATGATCCTAGTTTTTCTCTTCCAGATAATCTCTTGTTAATGTCACTCTTAAACCATAATGCTTCAATTTGAACACAGTACTCTACACATGATCTAGTCAAAACAGGGTACAAAAAGAGGATTGGGTATGAAACTGCAGATACCTGTTATAAACAATTTGCTTTTCTTTTTAATCTGTAAAAGGCAACTCGTAGCTTTCAAATCTGTCCTGCTAGTCAGTGTTTCTTTATTTCTGCTTCCCTTCTTTTCTCATGTTTACATTTTATAAATCACAATCTTCCTTCCCCCCCCCTTTTTTTTTTGCTATCCGCATGCCTATCCTCCTTTGATGTCATGCTATCCCCTCACTGCTGGCCTTGGAAAAAAAGAAAACAAAGCATATTTAATATATATAGTAAAATAAAACAAATTCCCACATTGGTATGTCAAAAAAAGGTATCTTATTTTGCATCAAGTCTGTTACATCTCTACCAGTTGGTAGGTATCATGTTTCATCATTAATTCTCTGGAATTGTAGTTGATCATTCCATTCAGAGTTTTCAAGTCTTTAAAAGTTGTTTTTCTTGCCTAAAAAAAAAATTTTTAAAAAATTAAAAGGGGGCAGCTAGGTGGTGCAGCGGAGAGAGCACTGGCCCTGAAGTGAGGAGGACCTGAGTTCAAATCCAGCCTCAGACCAAACATTGGACACTCACTAGCTGTGTGACCCTGAGCAAGTCACTTAACCCTAATTGCCTAAAAAATAATTTTTAAAAGTTTTTTTTAAAATGTTGTTATTGTATCAGTTGTTCTGCTTCTACTTAACTCACTATATTCATATAGATCTTTCCAGGTTTCTCTGAATACATCCATTTCTTAATCTCTTTATGTCCAGTAAAATTCCATTACATTTACATACCATAATCTGGTTAGCCATTCCCCAGTAGATGGAAACCTCTTTAGTTTCTACTTTGCTACTAAAAGAACAAAGAGCTGTTATAAACAGCTGTTATAAACATATGGGACCTTTTTCTATTTCTTTGATCTCTTTGGGATATAGGCCTAGTAGTGGTATCGCTGGGTCAAAAGGCATGCACAATTTAGTGGCTTTGGAGTTCCAGATTTATTTATCAATTCATTGATTTTTTTTCTTTCATTTTTGTTAATCTCTTTTTTGATTTTTGGAATTTCTGCTTTAGTATTTAGTTGTTGGTGTATTTTGGTTTGTCGTTTTTCTAGTTTCTTTTGATTACGTGCCTAATTTGTTGAATTTTCCTTCTCGTTTCTTGATGACTAAATTTTTAGAGTCAGACTGTTTAGAGTTTAGACTGTTAGATGACTAATCCCTAAGGACTACTTTAGCTGCATTTCATGAGTTTTATTAAGTTGTAATTTTCTTCGATGAAATATTCTATTTTTTCTGTAATTTGGTCTCTGACCCACCAATTCTTTAGGATTAAGTTACTTAGTCTCTATTTTTTAATTCTTTCTTTAAAGGCCTTTTATTGATTACAAGTTTATTCAGTATACGTTATAATCAGTAGATGATATGTTTAGTATTTCTACTTTTCTCCATTTATTTGTGAGATTATGACTACTCCCTCTCCTGCATTCCCTCTTAAATCCCTTTTCCCCTGTTCCCACCTATTTCCCAGTTGAGATTGATGTATTTTTACACCACTCTCTATGTGTTTGTATCTGCTTATGTGTGTTTGTGTACGTTTATCAACCTTCCTTTGCCCATGTTAGGTGAAAGTGAGATTCACAATATGCCCATTCTCCCCATTCCTTCCTCCATATCTGTTGTATACTCTTCATCTGATATACTCCTATTAAATGAGATAGTGATTTTTTTCCTCTCTCTATCCTATTCCTTTCTTCTGCCCTAGAGTCCCCTCTCTCTCCTGTTTCCTTCTTCTAAGACCATCAAACAGACCAAAACCAGTCCCAGGCTCTTTTCTTGTTGTATTTAACATTTTTCTGTCTCCTTTGAAGATACTGTGTGTGAGGACACCTGTTTCTTCTACTAGTCAGCAGTTGTTAGATGCCTGCTATATGCCAGATACTGCACTAAGTCCTCTAGATACAAAAAGAGGTAAAAGACAGTCCCTGCCCTTGTGGAGCCCACAGTAATGAGAGATTATTATTAGCATGTAAACAATTTATCCCCTTGTAGTGCTGTCCAGTTAATCAAATGTCTATACCTTTCTGAAATTTTCTTGAGTCCTCCATTTCAAAACATAGTATTCAGTTCTGGCTGTTCTTCAGGAATTCCAGGAAATCGTCTGTGTCATTAAAGGTCAGTTTTTTGTCCTTGTAGGATCATATTCATTTTTGCTACATGAATTCTTCTTGGTTTTTTTAAGCTTTACCTTTTGCCTTTCAGAATATCTTATTCTAAGTTATCCTCTTCAGCTGCCAAGTCTTGTGTGATTGTGACTGTTGCTCCTTGCTATTTGAATGTTTTCGTTTGACTGCATGCAGTATTTTTTCTTTGACCTGGCATCTCTGGACTTTTGCTCTGATTTTCCTGTTAGTTTTCATTTGGTATTTTTTTTTAGGAGGTGACTGGTGGGTTGTTCCTATTTTCATTTTCGACCTTTTGTCCTAAAAGATCTTGGCAATTTTCATTTATGATTTTTTGGAATATGGCAGCTAAACTTTTTTTTTGGTTATCATTTTTAATTAGTCTGAAGATTCTTATATTATCTTTCCTTGATTTGTTTTCCAGGTTAATTTTTTAAAATATATATCTTACATTTTCTTTTGTTATTTAAACATTTTCATTTTGTTTCAATATTTCTTCTTATGTCATAGAATCATTTTTCGGTTGTCCTATTTTAATTTTCAGAGAGTTAAAGTCTTAGGTAAGATTTGCTACCATGTGTTCTTAGGTT